CACTAACCAGGGACGACTCTGCTTAACTCTTGAGATCGGGCTAGCCCGGGCTCCATGTTGGTGCAGAGATGGTTTGCCACCATCTGCCTCTGCATAGCAACCCTTTGGCGGTCTCCCATCCGAGCGCTAACCAGGGACGACTCATGATTAACTCTTGAGATCGGGCTAGCCCGGGCTCCATGTTGGGGCAGAGGCGGACTCCCATCCGAGCGCTAACCAGGGACGACTCATGCTTAACTCTTGAGATCTGACGAGATCGGGCTAGCCTGGGCCATCCAGGTCAGGGCAATAATGAAATGCTGTCAAGTGACAGCCATAGGGCTTTCAAGGCAAAAGACATTCAGAGGTGGGTTGCCCTTGCCTGCCTCTGCAGAGCAGCTATGGTGTTCCTTGGTGGTCTCCCTTCCAAATACCCAAGCATGAAGTGTTTTATGAAAAAGATCTATAGCCTTAGATAGCACCTTGTCTTGAAACATTCCACCCATTCCAAAAGGAAGAACATTTCATTAGCGCTTTTTCGGCATTTTTCATGCCTTCGTCATCTCTTCCTCCCGGCACGCACCCTCCTACAACACGGCCGACGTACGCTGGCTAAAGAGAGACCGATTCGATCCTCGCCGAAACTTTGGACGCCCCGACGAATCGCGTAATGTGTTCTTTTCCCCTCCAGGAGTTTGCAGATTCCCTTGGGATCCCCTTTTTGGAAACCAGCGCAAAGAACGCCACAAATGTAGAACAGTCTTTCATGACCATGGCCGCTGAGATCAAAAAGCGGATGGGCCCTGGAGCGACCGCCGGCGGTGCCGAGAAGTCGGTTAAAATCCAGAGCACTCCAGTCAAGCAGTCCAGCGGGGGTTGCTGCTAAAACTCACCTCCCCCTTTTTGTCTCTCAACAACGAATCCGAACCCAACCGAAAATTTAGAAAAGCGAAACAAAACGATTAAAAAAAACAAAGCCCGAATTGTACTGTATGTAGCTGCACTACAACAGATTCCTTATCGTCTCCACAAAGGTCACCAAAAGGGCAGAGATTTTAAAAGTGCAATTCTTACTTTTTTTTTCCCCCCCCCCCCCCATCGATAAAAGCTAACTTCATTTTCAGAAACGTGTTAAACCATTTTTCCCCTTGTGTGTGTGTGTGCCGGTTTATGAAAAAAAAAAGTGTGTCATCCTTGTTGCTCCCCCCCCCTTAATACCAGACTGTTTCCTGTGGTTGGCTAAACTTGGAGTATATATATATTTTTTGTTCTGATTATATTGGCATGTTTAGATGCCAGGTTTAGTCTTCTGAAGATGAAGTTGAGCCCCCACCCCTAACAGCACAACCGTCGCCTGTCACTTTTCCCGTGCATCAAAGTTCCGTGAAGACATTCTGTGTAAGATCGGATTTGCTAGCTCCTCCGCGTAGAGCTGTAAATGGGGAAAACGGCCAGTGACCGGGATCCACGCCGATTTAGTCCTGGGCACCTAGTGGGAAGTCAGGAACGTTTCTCTAACCGTGACCCCCCCCCCCTTCTCTCCATGCCTCGCTGTTAGCCCCCTTTGAAACCCACGGGAGTTGGACGAGCATTTCTGACCTGGCTGCTGTCCAAAGGAAAATGGAGGGGGGAGGGCGTTGCCCCAACACGGCCAGCTATCCTCAAGCGGCCGCAGGATCCCTGCCATTGACTCTTCCGTCATACTCTACGCATAATTTGTGGCTGCAGAACATTGTAAATTGTTGCACAACCTGTAACGAACCAGAGAAACGTTCAATAAATATTGTACTTATTGGAAAGTAATATCATACTGTATGGTGATAAGTATTGTCTTAATTCTTACCGCTAAGGGGAAAGGCCTGTGTTGTGCCTCCAGATCTACCTACCTGTTATCATCGTACAACAGAGGCATTTAGAAGCTTCCTTAGACCAGACGCTCCGAGCCAAGCGACTACCTAGCAAGTACAGCCTCCATGGCGTAAGTCGTCATGTTTCCAGCATCTATGCTATACTCGGAACAAAGAATTTAGTGTAACATTGTTTATAGGATCATAATCACTAAGTGTACCATATTCTCTCTCCCCTGCCCACCCACACTCCCCTTCTAAAGTGTCTGGATCTGTTTCTAAATGATTCCATTTAGAAATAAAGTGTCTTTTTTTTTTTGCTCTGTCGTAGAAGACGAAGAATGGTATTTTCCCCCTTAACATATTGAATGACTTCAAAACTAACAAGGTGATGTTAACTCTGGCGCTGTTATGTCTTTTTTTCTATATAATGTTACTTCCATTCTCTCACAATCAAAACTCTGTTGACTTTAATAAAACTTAGTGCAATTTATTGGTTGGCTCGGTGATAGCAGAAAGGCACGAGGAAGCTGGGAATGGTGGGAGCCGGTAAGAAGTGAAAGGGGATCGGAAGGCTATTGTGTCGCGTCGCATACGGGAGAGAAGCTTCTTCGCTACGAAACATGAGTTTGAGCCGTAGGATTTTTGTACAGAGAGACTAAATCCATTAGTGCCTGACATCTGGATTTCTCGTCACCAACTCGATCAGCAACTGGCCGATCTCTTCTTTGCAAAAGATTCGTTCGAAACTGCCGCTACGGCTATTTTTCCGTACAAAGAAACAGCCAGATGTGACTGCAAAATCCCACCCCTTGGGCTATGCTGGAAGGCAAGTGTGCGAGCAGATCACTGAAAACGGGGGGGCTGCCTCCCGGATGGTGGGGGAGACAGCCGTTAGCGATCTGCATCCACCACCGCTGAAATAATAGAGTACTTTAAAGCCTTCATACTGTTGTCAGAAGATTTGAAATTATTGAAACTCTGAATTTGCTCTCCTGAGAATTTCACAATAAAGTGTACTTCATAATGACATGTGCTTAGTGGATCAATTCGTGGCACACATTTAGGGAGTGGCGTTTTGGTTGATCGAGGGGGAGTGGTCGTGACTTAGTGGAAGAGCCTCCGCTTGGTATGTGGGAGTTCCTAGGTTTGATCCCCGGTGTCTCTTGTTGAAAATGATCAGACAGGCCATGGGGGGACGCCTCTTTCTGCAGACCCTGGCGAGCCAAGCATCTGCTGGTCTGAGCAGACCTTGATGGATTGCTGGTCTGATTCAGTACGGGCCTGTAGCTATGGTGGGGCCCCTTTCTTAAAGGCACCACCCCACAAGAATTTCTCTTGCAAATGCTTTTTAAAAACATTTTTAAAAGGTGTGTGCTTCTTTAAGCAGAGTGGGGTGCTGTAGTTGACTAATTCCCGCACTGAGCAAGGGGGTTGGAGTAGGTGACCTCTAGGACCCCTTCTAACACTGTCAAGAACCTGGTCTCCTTTAAGGGAGTTTTTCTGCCTAAGTGTTAGCTTTCTTGACTATTGAAGTCATCACCCCCGCCTGCCGGCTTGTTCTCAGAATTGTTGCTTAGGCTGGCAGAAGTGATTAACTTGCAGCAGCTGAGAAGTGTCGTCTAAAGTGGTTGACAACTTGCAATTTAGTGATCTATCCTGGTCACAGCTTTCAATGGGCTCAATGGCTTTTCTTTTTGCACTGAGAACTTCAGCCCCACCAGGAAAAAAATTGCCCCACAAGCCACAAAATCCTGGCTACGGGCCTGATCCAGTATAAGGCAGCTTTGTGTGTTTATGTTCACCTTAAAAAAAAACAAAAAAACAATTCGCCCAGAGCTGGTTTCAGAGACTCTTTAGCATTCTGGAATGCTCCAGACCTGCTGTTGGAGTTTTCTGTACTCTACACAAACATCTGAAGTGAATCTCACGACCTTCAGTCAATGCTCCCTCTGAGCTGTGGAGTCTTGTGAGCAAGAATTCTGCTTTCTGAGCCACTGGCATTAAAGTTGTGAGCAAGCAACTTGGCTGCTGCATAAATTAGTTTGCTCTGGAGCCCTCCTTCCTGAGCCGAGACAAAAATGTGAGCCGGAGGCTAAAAAACTGTGAGCGGGCTCACACTAACTCAGCTTAGAGGGAACACTGCCCTCAGTCATTCCAGGGGATCGCAGCATACTTCCATTTCCGAACTTTAGAAAGCTCCTAAAGCGCAAATAGGTGAGGTACCTCCATATTCCGGTCTTCTAAACCAGGGGTCCCCCGCCTTTTTGAGACTCTGGGCACAGCCACAAAATGGCTGCTGGAGGAGACAGATCCAGCTGCAGAATGGCTGCCACAGCTTACCTTCAGTCACCCGGGGAAGAAAGCGAGGTTTTTAAAAATCTGCACAGCTAGTCTCCAGTAGCCAATCACAACCCTTCCTGGGCAAAAGCCCCACCTGGGCCTGTCCATTTTCTAAAAACAATTGGTGAGCACCAGGAAATGTGTCAGCGGGTACTCACGCCGCCACGTTGGAGACCTCTGTTCTAAACTATACGACTGTTGCGTAGGTAGGTGCTTGCGTAATTGGGCCAAATTTCTAAATATCTTTTTTTACATGCCCAGGGAAATGCTGATTGCCACTTTGGGGTTAGGAAGCAATTTTTCTCCAGGCCGCTTCGGCCAGGGATCCTGGAGGTTTTTTGTCATCTTCTGGGCATGGAACAGGGGGGTCACTGGGAGGAGGGAGGTATTTGTGAATTTCCCACATTGTGCATGGGGTTGGACTAGATGACCACGGAGGTCCCTTCCAACTCTACGATTCTTTTAATGCACTTTATGACACACAAAATCCAAAGAACTGGCTGATGCACACATCTTACGACAATCCTCCAGGACTGAATTCTTTCTTTGTGGGCCAAAGAAAGTCCTCTTTTGTTTTTCCTCCTGAAATTTCTCTGGTTACCTTAGACCGTAGTGGAGGGTACAACTGAAGCCTAAACTCTACAGTTCATGCAAGCTAGGTACTGCTGTTTCTATTAGATACCCAACAGATACAAGATGACGGTGCCTTACCTTGGAGATGAAGAACGCTGCCTTCTATAGTTGTACCGAAAAAGAAATTTGGGTTGAATTGCGCAGAAGTGCCCACTGAGGTGTACAATAGCTTGTGCTTCTCATCACCAGGTACAGCTTGGAATTTCTGGAGCCTTTTTGCTCTGTGTGGCTTTAGGGCACAGTTCACCCTTTGGGGTGACACTGATCGCGGAGCTGTTAAAATCTGAACTTGGCTACTTGTGAAGTGTGCTGGTAACAACATCTGAGCGGATCCATCTTGGCTACTAGCTTGAGTGCATATTATCTGTGTGGGACCTTGGGCCAGTCACACACTTTGAGCCTAATCTACCTCGCAGGGTTGTTGTGAGGATAAAATGGCGGACAGGGGAATGATGTAAGCCATTTTGGGTCCCCATTGGGAAGAAAGGTGGGGTATTAACATTTCTCTATATAATAATTCTGTTTTGGTCATGGACTCTCCTGAACATTCCACACGCTCCCAAATCATTTGGCTCCCTGATCTGTCACTCCGAAGCTGTCCCTATCCACTGGCTGTGTTGCCTGAGTCTCACCTCCAATATTCTAAACAGTTTGCTGTTCCTCTCCCCCCAATAGCCAGACGAAACTCAGAGATCATTTGCATATGCGGCCTGATTGGCCTTTGCCTCTAACTTTCTAAACAGTTTGTTGTTGCTGTTGGGACTCATTGAATGTGTCCTGAGGTAAAATACATATCCCAATCTTCCCTTAAACGGTCACTGGAGTTGCAAAAATACATATCCCAATCTTCCCTTGAACAGTCACTGGAGTTACCAGTGGGGCCTGGAGATCTCCCAGAAATCACCGTGTTCCCCAGCCACAGCACATCATTTCCCCTACAGAAAACTTCCCAGCTATTACAATGGCTGCTTTGGGCAGTGGACTCTATGGCATTATACCCTGCTGAGGTCCCTCCACACCCCAAACCCTGCCTCCCCAGGCTCTACCCCTCAAATCAACAGATCTAGTCCTCCCCTTAATAT